AAACATAATATGCGGCGAAAATTTGATTGGCGAGCGAGGTTGTCTGCAGAAAATCGGTATATTTGCCCGTATGCGGCAGCGAGCATGGGGCATCTGAATGCTGTAAATCTGCAGTGAGCATGGCCAATCGTAACTACTTGTCATGTTGTGACGACGTTTGATGAATGCATAAAGGGTGGCGATGTTTGTGTTGTGTAATGTCACGTCCATGCGCGTCGATGCATGCAGAACGTGTACGTGGATGTTGGGAAGCACACAGCGGCTGAGGTCTACTTTTGCGAAGGTGTCAATGTCGGTGTCATAATGAGCAAGGCGTCATTCCATTCGTAGGTCTCATAAACTGCACGTGATGAACGCACTTGCGTGGTTTCAAGTCGTGAAATGGAGTATTGGGCGAGAGAGGTCAAAAAATATACGAAAAAAAAAAAATTCTAACCCCGTATGCAGCGAATGCATTCATTAATCAAGATGTAGGACTCATTAGACGAATCGTGATATAATATATATATAATCCGTCACACTGACTGGCGACATTTTTTCCCCGTAAATACCTACCTGTACTGCAGTCTCGTACGAGCAGTGGGTGCAACGACAGCGTTTTGGTTCAATGATCAATTGGTGGCAAGATGGGCACCTACACACACACCAAGGCTCATCCGACCAAACACCGACAGCTACGTAGGATGGCGAGCAGCGTTGAAGCCTGGCCTATATCCTGGGAATCAGCGATGATGCCAGTCGGGTTAAAACGACCTACCTACATGTTTTTAATGTTAAATAGTAATGTTGTGTAGTCTACATGATTTGTCTTTAGTCTACAGTATACGATGATGAGTCTCCTCTGCTTGGTGTTCCGGGTTGAGAACAAACTCTCTGACAAAAGAACACCTGGGACCCAGTAGCCGGCTTTTGTGTTGATGAAACTCACTGGCATCGTTTTTTCTTTCTGACCTGGCTCCGTTAATGTAGCGGTGGTGTGCGTCGAAATCAGTCCTTCGTTTCTGTCATGTTAAATACATTATTCTTCTTAACAATGGGAACCGTTCGAGTGTGTACATCTAGTACTTTTACGTCTCCTTCAAGCGCTTTGCCACACATATCAACCATGACGTCCTACTATAAGTCGCTGTCAAGATCCTTGACACCCACACCCTCCGCGACAGGTGCCGTGGGGGCGGCAGTCCTCAACATGTCGGGTACAACTTCACTTTCTATCCTCCTCTAAAACACATCGGCAGGACCCACATGTTGTCTGTTGTTATGTGGTATACGGTAGTTTATAGTCCACCAGAGTATCAGGACACGCTTGTGGTGACTATCCGTGACCGCTCTGTCAAATGACATCTTCACAAACACGTATTAATAATGTCACTGATGATCTGATGTCCTGGAGAGCGGTGACGAATACAAATGGAGCTTTCCAAACACGGGCATGGCCGTACAGTAGGTTTGGTGTGGCCATCATCATGTTTGTTTCCAAGCTGTGTGAGAGGCACTTGGACACGCTCGATGACCAAGAACTTTGCGGCAGCAACCTGTGCACACGGACGGCTATCAGCCAAGCAACGGACAGTCGCATATTGCAACGCCTTTTTTCGGGTTTGTTTGGTGGAGGTGATACTGGTGCGTTGGACCTCCTCGGACGATAGGACCTCCTCGGACGACATTCGTGCGCAATCCGAAAAAGCGGTGGTGGCGGCATGTTCCGCTATTTTGTGGCGCTCAACTCGCACCGGTTTTGACAGCTGGACGTATGAATAGGTTGACCACTTTAGAGTGAAACGATATGTTACAGAGTGAACGAAGTCGATTCTTATGTGGACATGCCGACAATGAGGCATAATCACTTTGCCCTGTGTTGTGGTATTGATTGGTGAGGAGTCCGATCTAAACGCGTCGGAGGATCTGTGCTCTGTCTGTGGAGTTTCGGTTTTTCGATGCATTTTTGCATGCTGAATTCATTTGTCTTTCCTGGGGGTTTCCATGTGAATTGTTTGCATAGGTGTAGACATAGGATATGAGTACAAGGATCTGGGCAGCTGCACTATTTGTAGTTTGGGAGTATTCAACAAATATGTTATCGCGAGCGATACAAGCGGCCTCAGAAGCGTTTTTTTGTCAAGGAATGAGTCTCAACGCAGTTCGAAACGAAGGCCGCCCCTCGTTGCTAATGGACCACTCGTCGAAAGGGAAAAAGAAGCACTCTTAGAAGAGAGCATTCTTCAAGGTATTCTCAAGGATTCCAGAGAATGATGAATGTGAAACCTCACAACTTTTCCCTCGGTGCTGATTGGGAACAAGGTGGACATAAATCTTGATCCGTGTGACTGCCCTGGTACTCGGACTCCTGCCTAAACGTATGACGGGCTGTTGACAGCGAGGATACCAGCTGGTATCCTCCGCCCGGAGGACGATTGTATTATCCGGTATTTGTTTGTCACCCGCGGGTTCCAGGGGGAAAGCTGGCAAAAAGATATTCCGCCGGTGTAACTTTCAGTCAGCACCAGAAAACAATCCTACACAGCTCGACCAGCCGCCAAAGTGCGAACTGCCTGGGAGAGAAGCGGGCTATCGATGCAGCAGTCGGCGGGTGGACGGGTATCAACGAATGAAGACGTCCGTTCATACAATATATTGATATTCATCTGGCCAAAATCACTTTATCTTTTGCTTGAGGGGGGCATACCCCCATCGACTCTTACATATCCTTGCCGATAGCCTGGCGGGTGGCGTTCTCATTCGCAGAGCTACTCAGGTTCAGAAACACGGTTGGTTGGCACGCGCTTTATATCTCAGTTTAACTGCCGTCAGGCAGGTGTCGGGAGAGATCCTCTACTGCTGTAGAGGGATGGCGGCAACACGCTGCAGAAACATTTTACGCACGGTCGTCAGTGCTTGTTTCAACAATGCTAGCTTGTGCATGCGCTTCTACACACACACGGTGTTCATCGTTCCATCTTATGTATGTCGGCCTGTAGCTGTCCCGCCTGTCCTTGACCAAAGGAATCAGTTCGCTTCACCCTCCTCTCCCTCTGCAGCATGTTTTCGCAGCGTCGGCGACCGGCGTGTCCATTCTGAAACTGGGCGATGACCTGTCGTTGTCGGAGTTAGGGTTTTACAACAGCATGGCCGCGTTCGGAGAGCCAACCTCGGTTGCATACAACCCGGTTTTCGACGAGGTCGCCATCTCTGTCAAGGCATTTGACCCGCTGACGAAGGGCAGGGTCTACGTGGTGAAGTCGTCCGAGGATTGGATAAGGTAAGTCAGTTTCGATTACCGTGTACCAATCACGAAAGCATGAGGAGGCCTAAAGAAACAAGCGTATACCAGCCCAATATTGATGCGACGGGGGAAAACAAAGGATTGAATATATTCCTTCAGCGGTTGTATCTTCGTCGAACTGAATATCGTGGTTTGCGGCGGGTGGCATTCATTCATGGGGACTAGTTGGCCGTGTACAGACGGGACTTTGTCCCGTGCAGCACGGGGAGTGAAAGGGAGAGTGAAGCGCGTAGGTCTAGACAATCCGCTATGCATCAGTCTGTCATGGCACAAAATTCGGGAAACTACCCTCCGCCCCAGAAACCGTACGTGCAAGATTCGCCAACGGAATGCGAGCGAAAAGTGTACGCACAGGCCGACAGGGGCAGCATAGAGTGAAACGACGATTTGGGCCTTGAAGAGTGAAAGCACTTGAAATGTCGTCGACATATACTTTTGTTAGAAAGGCTTACTCATTAGACCACTCAGGGGCTGACGAGTAGTGTAATGGGTAAGCCTTTCGAAAAAAGGACCCACGCACGGGTAACAATTTATCATTTTTCTCCACAGGTTCTAGTGCTCCGAACTGGTACAGTACTGGGCCCTCTATAGTGCAGGGGTGTGCCCAGAAATTTTACCTGCACTATTATAGCGGGCACCTGCACTAATCAGAATAATATGTCAATACAATAGTGCAGGTTTGGCAATACTGAAGCTAAGTATACCTCAATAGTGCAGGTCCGGCACTATTGAGGAGATGTTAAATTTCAAGGTGTGGCGCTCACTTTGCGGGGCTAACATACGAAATTGATCGAGTTACTACAGTAGTTCTGGGCCCTGTTTTAGCGTGGGCGTGGGCAGACTGTGCCGCGACGCGTGTGGTTCCCCCCTGTCGCACACACACCGATGTCATAGAAAAATTACTTGCAAGCTGCACCGTTATTTTCTTCCTGCCCCAACACTCGTACTATACTGCACACACACCGTGAACTGTCGCACGAACCAATCCTTCAACATAGACTAGTGCTTAGGTGGAGCTATTTCTTAGTCCTCGCTGCCCTCGTTCGATGTTGCAAGATATACTCTATAGTTTAGACCAGTAAAAAAAAACATAACACGCCAGGAAGCGCACTACAAGAAAACAAGCAACCACTACGGCTACAGCTGTACCTCCCGCCCTCACTACGTGGCGAAAAATCCCCCATGTCTGCCTGGCGCATCCATCAACTTAAGAATCACAAGCTTCGTGTTGTTGTCCGGCCGCGCACGAGAACCAGAACACTTCGTACTCCCCCTCTTTGTTTTCTTCGGCCGTGTAGACTGTCCCGCCCCAGCACCCTCGGCTGGTGGTGTCGCTTTGCGCTTGCTTGGCGACGCACTTGCTGCAGATGCGGTGCTTTTCGTCGTCCTCAAACATGCTGCCGCAATTACCGTGGAGCCGCCCGCCACACCCTCCCTTGAAAGGTGGCCATGAGGGGCTTGCGGCGTTCTGCCTTGTTGATGGCACAGTTCGCCATCCACACAAGGCATGCTATGTCTCTTGCGTAGAGCTCTTCGGGCCTGCAGCAGCACGTGTACCCTGGTTTCTGTGTTGCGTCTGTCCGCTGACAATGAAAAGACGTCAGTCTTAGTGCGATTGAAAAAAAAAACACTTGTTCTAGACTAAATGCCACTAACAACTGGGACCCCGTGAGGGGGCGGCTTGGGTGAGGCTAAACTCTTCTCCGGATCAAGGACAGAAATTAACTGTAGCAACAGACAATAACTGCACGTGTGGATGAAGGCTGCTTGCTACCTTACACTCTAGTTCGTTGTGGAGTGCTTTCACCGCCATCCTCCTTCCTTTCAACTCCATCGGTCTCACTTATCGTTTGCTTGTGTGTGCCCAACCTGCACTATAGCGGGACTGCCCTCATGAGTGCAGGACCTACACTATTGAGGGCGCTCTCTGTGTCCAGAGATAATACCTGCACTATACCGGGCACCTGCACTATTCAACCTGCACTATAGAGGGCCCAGTACTGTAGGTGCTTCTTCGTAGTGCTCCGCAGTTTCTCAAAATGTATCAATTCAGCTCACTGAGATTTTATATGTTTGTAGATCATATTTCGTGTGAAGCTTGCAAGGATACAAAACGAAAAAGTGTGTCAACGATATGACCCTTCACAGAGTGCAAGTGCCCAAGCTCTCACCGACAAGGCACGTCCGATCTGGTTGGTGCTTAACGAAGCCCCTTTTTCGTTCCGAACGTTCAGGTGCGACTTCTGCGATGATGATGTCCAGATCCTTGAAGCAGGATTTTTACCAGATATGATCACATTCACTCCCAACGGCAAGCGTATCCTCACGGCCAACGAAGGAGAACCGGTGAGGGCTTACGGTTGGCGTCCAGCTTATATCGTGTGTAGTCTATCGTATCTTGCATCGGCCGACACCCCCACAGCCCTTTGAACTGCACTCACACCCTGCTGATGCAGTGGGGAAGTGGGCACCACCATCCAATGCGTGAGCATGCCACCAGCAAGGGCCAAGCGAACTGTTCACAGCATGCAGTAGCCGCTCAGGGCAAATGGCGTCGTGATGCTCTACACGCTCACCTTCAACTCTCAACTCGACAACGTTGAGACGTTGAATAAACGGCAGCGTTTGGAGTCGACCTTTCCGCGTCAGGGCAAGGAACGCTTCGCACAGAAAATTCATGATCCATGGGAAGAAAATCCTAACGCAGCACACACATCACGGGTTCGAATCGCTGTACATAGATGCCCATGACCTCCCCTTCCTTGTGCGTTTCCGTGCCTCACCACGTCATTCCCATCCTGTTCAACAGCTGAACTACGTGAGCGCGGAGAATGATCCGGAGGGGTCCGTTTCGATCTTCAAGCGTACGACCAAAGACAACACGTACGCGAGCGCGTGCGAAGTAGGGTTCGAGAAATACAACACCGCCGATCGCACCAACAGGCTCGTCGACAGAGGCATGCGTGTGGGTGGCATGAACTTCACGACGCTCTCAATGGTGAGCTGCTTGTCGCGTTTCGGGGAGCGGAGTCTTTCAAGCACTAAACCTTTACGGTTGCGCAGGGAACAATTCGCCATGTTCCATGGAAACGACTCCCCTTTCCCGAACAAAACGATCGCAAGATGGAAGAGTCTCGCCATCTCGTGAGCAACTCTGTGAGGGAACACCTTGTAGGGGTGACGTCTGTGCGTGGATACCTTGTTGTCTGCCACCACGGTCTTGCCTTTGCCAACACCCTAGCAGGAAAGTATGATGGTCCCTGAGTGTCCCATATGTCAAGGAAAACTGTTTCAACGTAGTCAGGCACAGTTTACCATAGGTGCGACTGCGGCAACTAGCCTTCCGTAGATATGATACAGAAAGAAGAGATGGTACTTAGACCACTGTTTATGGCAAAAAAATCTTGATCTTCCTCTCTTTCGACAAATGTTGAATTTTTCGACCTTTTGGGCAGTCTGCCTCCCGAACGAGTGCGAATCAGCTGTTCGACCTTTGAGAACAGTCACAGCTTTGGCTGAGATGTCTACAGATCGCCTACATGTTTCGCCAGGGTTCAC